TTTCTGTATTACCTTTAGCAAAACTTTACTCGCATGGGCTATCAAAGAGATTGCCAGATGATTTCCTCATTCCATTGGGTCACCTCTCTTTGGAATGGGCACAAATACAGATCTCTTCCAATTAGTTGGCCAGATAGTTGTCTTCCAAATTTTTTGGCATAGATGAGTAAGTCCCTCCTGTGTCACCTCACTTTCTTGAAAGATTTCAATTTTTATCCCACTAATTCCTGGCCTTGTTTTTTGCCAATTTCTTCAATGCACTTTAGACTTCCTCTTTCAGTATCATTGGCTCTTGATCATATGCTACCTCTTGAAATGGTTGAACATTAACCATTTAGTTTTGGTGCAGTGACTCTGTGTATTCCTTCCATCTTCTCTTGATGCTTTCTGCATCATTCAATAATTTGCCCAGAGAATCTTTCAATAGCAAAATCAAGGCTTGACTCTTTTCTTCAGTTCCCCCAGCTTGAGAAATGCTGAGCATGTTCTTCCTTTTTTGGTTTTCTGATTCCAGATTTTTGCAATTTTTGTTGTAATATTTGGCTTTATCTTCTTGAGCTGATCTTTGTGTATAGTCACCTTTTAAGTTATTGTAAAAAGATACTTGTAATGAGTAAGTCATTAGTCATGCAAAATTCTATCATGTGATCTCCAGCATTGGTTTTTATCACCAAAACCAAATTTTCTAAGTACTGGTCCTTCCTCTTTTTCCAATTTTTACATTTAAATCACCAATAATTACCAATGCATCTTGATAGCATGTTTGATCAATTTCAGACTGAAGAGGTTGGTAGAATTCTTCCACTTCATCATCACTGGCTTTAGTAGTTGGTGTGTAAATTTGAATAACAGTGGTAGTAACTGGTCTTGATTTTAGGCGTATGGATATTATTTTATCAGAGAGAGTATTATACTTCAAGATAGATCTTGAAATTCTCTTTTTGATGATGAATACAATGCCATTGCTCTTCAATTTGTCATTCCTGGCAGAGTAAACCATAAGACTGTCAGACTCAAAATGGCCAACAGCAGTCCATATCAGCTTACACAGGGTCAGCAGTCCAAACCCACCAGCTGTGCCTCTGAAACCATATACAGGGTCACTATAAATCAAAACCGATTCAATGGTTTTTAATTTAACAACAACATGCCTCGGATATCGATCTTTATGTGTTTCAGTTCATTTTTGATGACTTCCAGTCTTTCTAGTTTCATACTTTGTAAGTTCCACGTTCTGATTGTTAATGGATGCTTGCAGCTGTTTCTTCTCATTCTGAGTTGTGGTCAATCAGCAAATGAAGGTCCTGAAAGCTTTGCTCCATTCACATCATTAAGGTCAACTCTTCTTTGAGGAGACAGCTCTTACCCATTTGTATTTTGAGTGCCTTCAGACCTTAGTACTCTGTCAGCTAATGTTCTGCTATTATTCTTAAGTGTTTTCAGTGGCTATGCCTTCAGAAGTTGTCTGCTTCTCCTTCTTCCTCATTTGTCTCAGTCTGCAGGATCTGCTGAAACCTGTGCACCATCTTAAAAACCTGTTTATATTAAAATACTGCAGACAAAACTTCCAGAGCCACAGCAACTCAAGCCACCACAGGATGACAAACTGACAGATTAGTGATAGGAGAAATATTATTTAAAAAGAAAAGTCAGTATCTGAAGACAGAGTAAGACTATAGAACCTTCTCTCAGAACACAGATTAAGAAGATGAGAGTAAAGAAAAATGCAATTGTAATTTCTTGAGAAACCCATCATCATAGGAAATAAACTTATAATTGGACCGACAGAATTAGTGTGCTTCAATAAAGTATGCACTGCCTTGGTGTTTATTATAAAGGAATGTCACATAAATATTTGTTCGTACGAAAAATATGATCAATAAAATATTTAACAGCAGAAGAAGAGGGGAAGGCCCTAAATGGTTCATTTTCGAAATGGTAAGTAGCTTTCTAAAAGTAATGTGGTATTCTAAATTTTTGTGTTGGTTTTTTTTTTTTAAGTGCTGTCTAGTCAATTCTGACTCATAGCGACCCTGTATAGTGTTTCCAAGGAGCGGCTGGTGAGTTTGAACTATTGACCTTTCCATTCAAATGGACCTTTCAGTCCAATGCTTTATCCTACAGTGCCACACAGTACTCCACCCATGCCTCCAAAAAATGTTTTGAATAGATATAATAGAACATTTAGAAATAAACCCTATTAATAGTTACTATTTTGAGATCGCCCATCAACAAAGATCTGACCTAGAAATGGCATAGAATATATTGATGAAAAAAGTGTTACATATAAAAGAGTTAACCTGTTAGTGAACAAGCAGATGAACAGTTTTCTCATTCATTCTCCATTGCCTCATTCATCATCTGTACCATGAATGACCTATTTCCTTCAGTTCCTGGGCTCTCTGACATCTTTCATCCTAATCATCCCTTCTGTTATCTTCATCACAGCACACAGATGAATCTCAACCACCTATGCATTGGCTAATGACCCTAATGGTCTCATTTTGAAGGCATTATGTAACCAACAAGACACATGCTGTAAGTAGTCATTCTAGAACACATAGGAGAGTTTATTGGATCTCTCTACACATGCTACTTTCTAAGATTGTTGTTGTTGTTGGTCCTGACTCATGGCAACCCTATATAGGGTTTCCAAGAAACAGCTGGTGGGTTCGAACTGCTGGCCTTGTGGTTGGCAGTCCAATGCTGACCCTATAGCGCTACAGCCACCAGCAACCACTCTCAACTTCTTACAAGGGCTCTTTCATATCCAGATTCTACAACTGATTCATTTTTAGAAATCTTATGTGAGAAAGTTTGCTTAAACATATTTCTGAACTCTATACAGCTAAATGGTATCCTGGTAGCGTAGTGGTTACGAGTCAGGTTGCCAACCACAAGGTCAGCAGTTTGAAACTACCAGCTGTTCCGTCGGAGAAAGGTGAGGTGTTCTGCTCCCATAAAGATTTACAGCCTTGGAAACCCTGTGCAGGGTCACTATGAGTCAGAGCCGCTCCACAGTACTTAACAACAACAACAACAAATGGTATCCGCAAGTGGAAGTAAGACTCTTAGTTCTTCAAAAGCAACAAGAGATGATAATTTTGAATACTTAACCATTGGTAAGAGAGTCCTCAGTATTTCTGTGTACCACTTCACTTATCCAGAGGAAGACTGTCATCTGTTTCACAGAGGAGGAAACTCAGGTGCAGGCCAAATAGTTAGTGTCAAGGATGTGAGAGAAACACAGCCTATCCTCTAACCACCACATGTAAAAGAAGTTTGTGTTTTCTTGAGTTTATGAACCAAGCAAATTTTGTGAGGTGATAATTTTTTTTAAAAAAAGGCCCCCATGAATAAATAATAATCTTGGAAGCACTCCATACATGCAAAAAAATTTTTTTAACTCTTTAGAAAAATAAATGCGTCAGTTGTTGTTGTTGTTATGTGCCATCAAGTCGGTTCCGACCCATAGTAACCCTGTATAGGGTTTCTGATGAATGACTGGTGAGCTTGAACCACTGACTGTGTGGTTCAAACAGACTCTGCAGTCCAGCGCATTAACCCACAGCGCCATGCCAGGACTCCAACATGTCAGTAGGCCTGTTGTAAAGAAATCTGTTTAATTTTGCTTAACCCAGTGAGTCTCACATTTTGACTCTTGAAACTTGTTTTCATGCAATTTCTAATGACATCTCCCATGATTAATATCTTGCACAAGACTTTGGGAAAGTATTCAAAGATGGTCTCTTACCTGAGGCATTGAAAGATTCGGAGGTTCGTGAGTATCCCATAGGACAAATTCAAAAGAATCTTCAAAGATTTCTCCACCAAAATGACGGTAGTAAATGATCCCATTAAACAGATCCCTCTGAAGGAAGCCAGGAACAGGATAGCCTGTTGGGCCCACAAAACATCACAGTTGTATAAGATTCCACTGGGTGTTGGGGTACAATGGTGTTGAATTTATCTCCAAAAGTCTGCGGTATCTTGTCTACCCTGTGTGCACAGGGAACCTTCACTGAATGCTTCAATCAGACTTTAAATAATACACCAGAAAATTTTTAAATTGTTATTGCTGTCTTAATGTGTAGAAATAATGAATTGGAAATTTTTTTCAAAAAAGTCTTTTTTCATATACAATACTATTTGATCCCTATTTTACCAAACTCATGAGAAAGTAGATAATTGTAATAACATGTTGTTGTTGTTGTTAGGTGCCATCGAGTCGGTACCGACCCATAGGCAACTTATGCACAGCAGAACAAAACACTGCCTGATCCTGTACCAACTTCACTACTGTTGCCACGCTTGAGTCCATTGATGCTGCCACTTGGCTAATCCGTCTCATTGGGGGTCTTCCTCTTTTTCTCTGACCCTCTGCCTTACCAAACATAATATCATTCTCCAGTGACTGGTCCCTCCTGACAATATGTCTGAAGTATGAGAGACGAAGTTTGGCCATCTTGACCTCCAAGGAGTACTCTGGCTGCACTTCTTCTATTGGTTCTTTTGTCAGCCCATGGACCTTTTGATATTCTCCTCCAAACGCGTAATAACGTGTAATGAAATGTTATTCATGAAATTACCATATCAATAATCTAGAATAGATCCAACATCCCCTTGAGACCTATTTTCCCTATTACCTTCCTTGGTTGACAACTCTTTATAGTGATGGTTACTGAGACCCAGCTCTGGGACTTTCTAGATGTATAACCTTGGAAAACGCAAATAAACTTCTCCAAGTCTCAAGTTCTCTACCAATCAAACAGGAATAATATTAATATTTTACCTCATAAAATTTATATCCACCTTAGCACAAATTCTAACATGAGTTAAGCAAATCCTTTAAGTGTGCATAGAGAGTTCTCCACAAAAGAATCCATTCCAATCAAATTCTCCTAAATGCATGGTACTTACCTACCAACCCTGGTCCAGGCTTCTTCATGATCTCTCCAGCCTGTGGGGGGTTCGTGATATTAAAGAAGATGTAGTCATCACTAGAGTCCATGTCTGAAGCTCTCAGCAGGGAACCCTGGATGAGTATAGTCTGGCCCTCCTCTAGTTCAATCACAACGTTGGTTATGAGGAATGGGGGACTATCATCTTTGGGCAAGATGTGGATGGGAAACTTGTGGCGGATGCTGTGGTGGCCATCAAATATCCTGAAGACCACAAAGTCTTTGGTGGAATCGCTGTCATCATGATGATAGCGAACAACTCCAGCTTGTACATCAGCAACAGTGAAGAGAAATCCTTTCCCCCCTGATGGAGAGAGCAAAGATACAGCAGAATGAATGGGGGCATCCAGGCACTACCGCTGCAATGGAAGCCTCATCGCAGGAGTGAACCTTCAGGAAATTGGTGCCTGGCTTCCTTCACCTGGGAAACAACATCTTGAGGTGGGCTGGTACACCCCACAGACCTAGTTTTGAACACTGGCTTGAACATTTACTAGCTGTACAGATTTGGACTTGAGACTATGAATCAGAGATGGTGTTGTTGTTAGCTGTCAACAAGCGGACCCCAACTCACGACAACTCCATGCACAGTAAAACAAACTGCTACCTTGTCTGGTGCCATTCCCATGATCTCTTTAGGATCCATATTCTTGTCACAGACGGATTTTTGGAAGTAGATCACCAGGCCCTTTTTCCAGTTTGTCTTATTTTGGAAACTTTGTTGAAATCTGTTCAGCATCACAGCAACACACGAGCCTTTATGGACAGATGGTTGGTTGCTGTGCATGAAGTATACTGGAAGGCAAGAATTCTACCCCCAAACCACCATTGACCCCTACGGATGATAATACCCATCCAGAGCTGTGAAGTCGATCCTGACTCACAGTGAGCCTGTAGGGAAGAGTAGAGTGGCCCCATAGGGTTTCCAAGGTTGTACATCTCTATGGAAGTGAATGACCACATCTTCTCCCACAGAGTAGCTGGTGGGTTTTAAAAACTGAACTTTTGGTTAGCAGCCAAGCATTTTAACCTCTGTGCCACCATGGCTCCCAGGAATTATAACACCTACCTCATAGTCCACAGTAAGGATGAGAACACTTAATAGTTGTTCTTCAACTTATCATTTCCTATGACAACACACTGCTTGGGGGGGTGATCCTCACTGTGGTCCCAACCAACAGCATTAGCACCAGCTAGTAAGTTGTTAGAAATGCACATTCCTGTGTGCCCCTAAGTTGATTCCTATTCCTAGGGACCCTATGTATCAGACAGCGTAGAACTGCCAGATGGTTTTCTAGGTTCTAATCTTTCTGGAAGAAGATCATCAGGTTTTTGTGCTGCCAGGATTCCTTTAGGCCTCATCCTACCTTCTGAAATGGAAAGTCTAATCCAGCAATCTGTTTCCTGGAGCCCTCCAGGCGACTCTAAAGTTTGAGGTACATGTGAAAGGTTGAGGATTACTGTTTAAAGGCTAAAAACAAGAGCTGTAATGTCAATCAGCCTAGGTTCAAATCCCAACTCTGCCACCTTCTAGAAACATGTCCTTAAATAATTCAGTGTAGCTTCTCAAAGTCTTAGCTTTCTCATTTGTAAAATAGGAATAATAATTAATATCTCACCTCATAAAACTGATGTGAGAAAAAAGAGAAAAGGATGTAGAATTCTTCACATAGTATTTGGCATAAAGCAACTGTTTAATAAGTGTTCCAAGTATTTGCTACCTCCTCTCAGCCCATGCAACATTGTTTGATGGACCACCAATTCCCATTTCATTCCTACAGTATTAGTAAATACTTCTTCACTTTTTGCACAAAGTATTACAAATGCTATAAAGACCTCAGAAGACTAAATCACTAGATACTAAGGTAAGGGACTTACCCCAAGGCACTTTCAACTTCTTCTTTACTACCAGAATCTCAGCTTGTTTTGGAATGGCAACATGGCCATCTTAAAATACTGAGCTTCCCAGACTTCCTTTTAACTAGGGTAGCCACGTAATACAGTCTGCTAAGGAGACCTAAGTTAGGGCATGAGTATTTCCCTTGTTTCTTCCCTCCATCCCTGCCTCGAACGTGGATGCCTGGAGGTGTAAGTGACAGAACAGAAGAGAAACTGCTGACATCAGGCATCATGTTGTTGTTGTTGTTAAGTGCCGCTGAGTCAGTCATAGACATGAAATTTTTACATCTGAACAACTCGTCACATGAGGAAAATAACTTCAATTTTTAAGCTACTACAATTGGGTTTCCCTTACATATAGCTGAACACCAGACCTAACTGATCCATTCAAGGCTTATATTGATCTTCAATAGTTCTAAGAAGGATTTATTGTGTGTTCACCATGCTACTTTTAATTTCAGAATTCCCTAACCACAAATGATAAATAAGAGCTGTCATTCTGCTTTACACTTAGCCAAACCAAGAGGGTAATTAAATTAAATCCTTACCATTGATGTACTGTATTATCATAAATCTCATTGGATTTATTAGGGAGTCCTGATGTGGTGCTACAGGATAGGTACTGGATCATAAGGTCAGTTTGAATCACAAGGTCGGCAGTTCAAACCCACCAGCCGCTCCTGGGAAACCCTATACAGGATCACTGTGAGTCAGAACCAACTTGATGGCACTTAACAACAATGATTATTATCTTGTGTTTTTTTTAAAAATCCTTGGTGTTTCAGTGGTTAAGCACTTGGCTGCTAACAGAAAGTTCAGTGGTTCGAACCCACCATCCAATCCACACGAGAGAGATGTGACAGTCTGCATCTGTAAAGAATTACAGCCTTGGAAACCCTACAGGTAAATTCCAATCTGTCCTGTAGGGCTAGAGTTAGAATTGAGTCAATGGCGGTGAGATTGCTAATAACCATTGTTAGGAAGCCTGGTGGTGCGGTAGCTAAGTGCCCAGCTACTAAACTAAAGGTCTGTGGTGTGAACCCACCCAGCAGCATCATGGGAGAAATAAGAGACAGTCTGCTCCTATAAAGGTTTACAGCCTTGGAGACCATGGGTTCAGTTCTTCTCTGTTCTAGATGGACACGATGAGTTGGAATTGATTCGACAACAATGAGTTTGTATTGTCGGGGGTTCTATTACCTTGAAAACGACCATCTCTGTGTAATTATGAATTTGTTAACTTCAAATGATACTAGTTACCACTACCACCACCACTCGTCTGTCAGTCTGTCCTACTGTGGTGGCTAGCATGTTGCTGTGAGGCTGGAAGCTATGCGACCAGTATTTTAAATAGTGAACAGGTTTCAGTGGAAATTGCAAACTAAGACAGTGTAGGAAGAAGGAGAGGCAGAGTACGTCTGAATGTTTAGACACTGAAAATTATTAATTGCAGCAGCACATTGTCAGATATGGTGCCAGGAGATGAAACAGTATGAACAGAACTAGAATATTGTCAGACAGTGTCAGAAATGAGTCCCACAGTTGAAGGGACTCAAATACAGCTGGGGAAGAGCTGCCTCCTCAAAGTAAAGATGACCATAATGACGTGAATGGAGTAAAGCTTCAGGACCTCCATTTGCTGCTGCTGAGGAGAAACAGCTGCAAACATCAATTAATAGCCAGAATAATAGAGTACACTAAGTATGAATCTAAGAGAGCTGGAAGTGGGCAAAAAGAATTAAACACATAAAGATCCATATTCACTGCTGAACTGGAATGGAATAGAACTGACCATTGTGAGTCAGCTAATCATATGGTTTCCTATGCCAGGAATGCCAAACTGAAGAGGAATGGTGTCACATTCACTGTCAAAAGAACATTTCAAGATCTATCTTGCAGTACAATTCTATCTGCAATAGGATAATAACCATACACCTAGAAGGAAGACCAGTTAATACCACTATTTTCCAAATTTACACGCCAACCACTAAAGCCAGTGATGATGAAATTGAAGAATGATACCAACTTCTTCACTCTGAAACTGGTGAAACATGCAATTAAGATGCTTTGATAATTACTAGTGATTGAAATGTGAAGGCTAGAAACAAAGAGGAGGAATCAGGAGTTGGAAAATATGGCCTTGGTTATAGAAATGGTGCTGGAGATCACATGTTGCAAGACCAACAACTTATTCATTGTAAATTCAACAAAATGATAAAAGCACTGGAGGTGCTCACTCATCTACACCAAGAAATTTGGAAGACAGTTACTGGGCCAAACAATTGGAAGACATATTAAGCAAATCTGAGGTAAAAGACCTCTTGAAAGTGTTAAAGAGCAAAGATATCAGTTTGAAAACTAAGGTGCACCTGAACCAAGTCATGGCATTTTCAATAATCTGATATGCATATGAAAGCTGGAAAAGGAGTAATGCATTTTAATAATGATGTTGGAGAAAAATTTTAAGAGGATGGCAAGATTTCATCTCTTCTACTTTGAACATGTCATCAGTAGGGAGCAGTCCCTGGAGAAAGACATCATGCTTAGTAAAGTGGAAGGTTAGTGAAAAAGAGGAAGAACTCCACTGAGCTGGACCGACAGAGTGGCAGCAGCAGTGGCCTCAAACACAGCAATTGTGAAGATGGCACAGGACTAGGCTGTTGTGCATAGAGTCACTGTGAGTTGGAATGGACTCGATGGCTCCTGACAACAATAACCACTACTAACAAGATTATTACGAAAATACTGGACTACAGAAAAGTCTTTTCTCTTTTTTTGACACATAAAACAGAGAAATGAGAGAGAAATATTTTGTTCTATAAACAGGAAAGATTATCAGTCAAGGTGTCCATCATGGTATCGAGAAAGCAAAACTGAGAATCAAATAATGGCAGGCACCAAGTACCAGCCATAAATTGTCATCCATTGATTTGACCGCCCAAAGTCAAAAGGTGATGGTGTCCGGATCTCCCGATTCTCTGAATACAAGTTTATTTATACGTGGGGCCCAAGAGATGTTATAATGAATACCCTATAAAGAAGGAGTTGCTTTTGGAGAAAACACATCATGCTTGTTTTTTCTGGGTTACAAAGGTTGATCATCTACCTCGTAGTGTAAGACGTCCATGTAGCAATCCACCCACGGTGACTAGACGGACAGCACCAAGGTCATCATTGTCTACAATCTGAAACTGTTCCCAAGTGATCGGCCGAGACTGCCCCTCCAGTAGATTCAGGCCTACGAGAGAAAATACAATTGCATCTGACAACGGTTCCCTTTCATAAGTCCCTACAATCTGTTGGTTCTCAGGTCTACCGGGTAGTGGAAATGGTTGAATGAAACTGCAGCTCCCTGACTCTAACCTGAGTGTTCAGCCCTGAGTCTTTCCCTGATCAACCCTCTCTGCACATTTCCTTCAGGATGCTGGGTCCTTTACGATATAACTTTTAGAATTATGATGGTACCACAGAATAAGTTCTGAAGATAAGAACAAATATTTTCTTTATAGGGGTCTTTAGTTCATGAACGTCCACAACGAATTTTCTAAAACAACATGCAAATATTTTATGTGGGTGAAAGAGTCAGGTGTTTTTATGATAATTTATGAGAGCATCACTCGTCCACAGGATAGAGAATGTGAAGAGGTTTAATTGCACATGCAGAGCTATTGTGTCAGGAGGATGTTTAATGGTGTTATCTCATATATGTAGTGCATGGCATTTTGCACTGTAGGCTGGGTTTTAGTTTTGACTCTAATAAGGAAAGAACTTTTATAACTAATGAAATTAAAATAAAATCTTCTTGGGCCTAGCATGCTAGAGGAAATCTGCAGAGAAGGCATGTACTGGTCAAAGAGAAGAATATAGACTAAGGACTCAGTTCTGAGAACTATATATTCTCAGAAGAATATAGAGTAAGGTTAGAAACAGAGCTGTAGCTACCTTCAACAATTCCCAGTAGACCTGGAGACAAACAGATTGCATGGAATTTTGAAAAGGAGCAGAATTAAAAAACAAACAAACAAAAAACTGAAAATATTTAAAGACAGTGCACTAGTGGGCCAAGTATATGCTTTCCCTTAAATAAACCCAGCTTTCCTGACTCCTAAGCCTTGACAACACACCTGTTTTCTAGGTGGAATTGCCTGGTGAGGGCTCCCACAGTCCCCCAAATTACAAAGCCTATTGGTTCTTGTGTGGTGCTATGGATCAGCACAGGACTGCTTGAACCACAGCACTGGACTATTTTAACCACAAGGTCAGTAGTTCAAACCCACCAGTTGCTCCTCAGAAACCCTATAAAAGGTTGCTATACATTGGAACCAACTCAACGGCACTTAACAACAACAACTATTGTTTCATCTTGTAACATGGCTGGTTACTTCAACTGGTAACTGTGAAGAAGGCCACATTTTGACTTGAACTTCCTTGTGCCCATCTCATCAGACCCATGTTTGTATTTTGTTGTTATTGTTAGGTGCCATCAAGTCAGTTCTGACTCATAGTGACCCTGTGTATAACTAGACAAATACATACAGACTAGACAAATCATACAGAGCAAACTAGTCACAGTGGTGGAGCAATGAAGAATTTAATTTTCTTTATTTTCCAAATTTTCAGTAATGCACATACATTATGTTCACAATACAAAAAAAAAAAAAAAGGACTTCTAAAAGTATTCTGATGTCCAAAATACAAAACAAAACCAGATTAGAAGCTCTCTGCAGAGTGCTATGTTAAGGAATCTGGGCGCTACAAACCACACATACACAGTTCGCAGTAACTACGCCCAAGTGCTAATCTACTGATTATGTAATGACAGCTCCACTTTAGGTGATCAGACCTCCAACAGAAGTTGAGTGTGGCATAGAGCCAGAATCATAAATCAAGGCTACTCAACTGATGTCCCCCATCCCTACTGAAACACAAGACACACAGACAAAAACATACAGAAAGAGAGCCATTGAAACTGGAATCTGAGGGTTTAAACCACACACTGAGTGAGGTACTGTCCCCAGGATAGAACCTACAAACACTGCTTATAACTGTTTTGAATGCTACTGAGGCATCCGCATTTGATTTAAATATATTCACTGCCTGCAGTACGAGTCCGCTAGAATCGAGAGATAGGGCAAAGCTTGTTTTAAATAAATAAATAAAGCAAGTTCTTATTTATATATTTTGGTTTCCATGCAAACCAACTGAAAAGTAGGGCAATGGCCCAAAAAATAACAATTGATCTAAAGCAACAAAGGAAGTTGTTGTTAAGTGCCATCCTGTCAGTTCTGACTCATAGCAACCCTGTATAGGGTTTCCGAGGAGCACCTGGTGAGCCTGAACTGCCGACTTTGCGGTTCAAACTTGCAGTCCAGCACGTTATCCAACAACACCACACCAGGACTCCAACAAAGGAAAACAACTCAGGAATCAATCAGAAAAGGAAACAGACTGCTGGTTTAACTGCCTTAATGAAGTACTACCTCCTTTGCCATAAGACCAGAAGAAATGGGTGGTGCCAATTTTCATTACTAAGTTTTCATCAAGGTTTCACTAGATGATCTTCATCAAAAGGAGGGAAAGCTGTGAAACGGAACTTCAAATTCTTACTGGAAACCAGAGTCACATGGATACACTGAGAGTGGAGGAACCGTTGAATCTAGTTCCTGGAAAGAACTTTTAAGCCTTGAACCAAAAGTGTCCCATGAAGTCCTCTTTAAACTAAACAACACTTTTGTTCATCGAATAAACTATGTCCACCTTGAGGGTTGGGTTCTTTTAAAGAATTATCTATACTAGAAATGGTCACCGTCACTCTAAAGTACATATGAGGACTGTATGGAGCAGAGAGCCTAAGCGAGCACACTAAAACAATATGGACAGTTAGAAAATGGGGATACAAAGTAAGGTGCGTAACGGTTGTCACTGAACTGTACATGTGAAAATTGTTGAGTGGAAGTAGGCTTTGTTGAATACATGTTCACCAATTTTTTTTTTATTTAAATTTAAAAAATAGGGCAATGGATTATTATAGTGCACACTTTCCTTCAACAATGTGAGTTGGGGACCTTTCTTTCTCAGCCCAACTATTATGGTTCAATATCACAAAAAGACACTTTTTACTTCACTCAGTTGAAAGGCTGCTCAGGAAAGAAGTAGGCACCTGGACAAGGAAATGCTGGATTTCATTTCTCACCCTGTCACTAGGGAGGAAAACAAAAACCAGACAACACACACAACTATCTGATGCCCTTGGAAAGCCATGTACCCTGTCTGTTTCAGTTGCCTCCCATGTGGTCTTTATACTTTCCAGGTCCATATACTTTGTGTTTCCTTCTCTGTGATGTTTGATGATACCTTGCTGTGTGTGACTTGCTTGGCGTCCCGTAGGGAAGTTTACCTGTGTTCCAGGACACTCGTGGGGCATTTGTATCTGCTGTTCTGATAGAGATGTGTACTGTGATTGTTGCACTCTTTTCAAAGAAGAAGTCATGGACCTTCAACTCCACCTGCAAACAAACAGACGCAAGTGACTCACCCACCACTGAGGGCCAGTTGCTGTACCATTAACTCTCTGTGCCGTCCACCATGATGGAAGGCAAATGGATTCAGCTTTCTGTAACTGCCTGATCTCTCTTTGACAGACTGATCTCTGAATCTGGAGCTTGGTTTATCAGTATTTTTTCCCTAATTTTCCTTTCCAGAAATCATTCATTAACCTGGAACTCAGACACGACACGTGCTGGAGAAGCATCCTTGCTTTTGTCAAGGAGACAATCTCGGCCCAGCATGAGACCACTTGGGCCCCTCTCAATGGCAGACAGTTGAGAGAAGTGGTTCTTGGCAGGGGTCGACTTGGGTCTTGGTGTGGCACTGTAAGATGAGCACTGGACTGTTAACCATAAGTCAGCAGTTCAAACCCACGAGCCACTCCGAAGAAACTCTATATAGGATTGCTGAGTCAGAAGTGACTTGATGGCATTTAGCAACAACAGGGGACATTTGGCAAAGTCTGAAGACGTTTTTGGTTTCAGAGCTGGAGAGGCAAGGTAACTCCAGCATCTGGTACATAGAGGCCATACTTCCATGCACAAAACAGCATCCTAAGAAAACAATGATCTCTGAGATGTCATCATGGCAACACTGTTAAGCAACTCGGATCTGACGAATTTCTCCCTGTAGATGAATTTTCCAATGTCCAAGTTTAATTTGTTCCCATGAAATCCATCATTCATAGGTGGAGGCAAGAATGCAAGTATGAGAAGTTTTGAGCACTTACTATGGGTAAGTGCACCAGGTGCTGACAGAGAAGGATGAGGTAGAATAAAGAAATACAAGGCACAGTGATTACTTTGAAGAATGTATGGTCCATTTGAAAGGACAAGATAATACTCAGAAAGCAACATATCAGCAAATACTAAATAATCATAGAGTCAGATTTATTGGTGATAACTTATCAAACTGAAAATGACACTATATATGGACAAAAGATGCCTCTTTGGAGTTGTATTAGGTTGAACCATAAGAGATTGTTCTCACTTACTAAAGAACTTTATTCTTAAATATCAATATAAACCAAGCCTAATAAAACATGCTGAGATTTTTCCAAAGAGGTGAAAATGCCTTAAAGAATGCACTTTTAAATGTGCCCAGGGAAGGGTCAACTTCAGATTCACTGGTCATTAACTCTGGGAAGTCCCTTCCCCAATGCCTGAACAAGCAAACATCTACACAAGGTTTCCAAGCCACCCAATCTGAAAACCTCCTAATCCCCACTGAGAAATTGGAAGTTACCTTCTAATAACAACCATAAAGCATGGCCTTTGGACAGGTTCTGTTTTCAGATTACCACGATACAAGGGCAGAGAAGAGCAGGAGTGTTATATTTGTGAGCTTGAGGTAAATGTGGACCCATAATGAGAAATTTCTTTATAGAAGTCCCCTGTTATGTTCAAGAGGCAGGGGAAAGAGAGAACGAACAGCTGCCACTTAACCCTAGGAAGTCAAGGAAAACTAAGCAAAGGGTAAGCACAGCATTTCTAGTCTGCAGTTTTCCGTGTGCCCCTGGGGTTGAAAGCTGAGAGTTCCTAAATTACATGGAGGCCAATTTGTAACCCCAGGACACTCATTTTCCATAATAAACCTGAACTCCAGTCTGTATCAATCTGCTCATTTAAATTGCCCATCCTGTTTGAATCAACTTGCTGATAGGTCTTCAAGTTTGGGAAGGGTTATGAACTGGAAGACTGCAACCAGCTGTTCTCCACTCCCATTAAAAACAAACCAAAAGGGGGGCAGCTGAAACTACAGTGGAATGGACTCAGGGTGGATAGAAAGAGGAACTTCCCGGTGAAAAATAGTTGACAATGAAATTGGTTCTTAAAGGAGACTGTGGAATCTCTTATCCTTCCTAATACAATTGAACACCTCAGTTAATGCAAGAGTTCACTAATAATAAAACAACTGTGGAAGAATAGACAGGGATGGGCAACTTGGACATTGGCTACCCAAAATACAGGGGCTACAAAGACAAGAAGTGACTGGCTTACAAGCTTTCAAGAGGGAGCCTAGATTCAGAGGGTATGGAGGAAGTTAGACTCTCCACTGAGTAGTATCCAATCTGTCTGGGTGAGGCTGATGAAAGGAGATGGGGATAGGTCTCTTGTGATACAATAGTGAATAACTGTTATCAGGACTGATTGTGAGGGTTGGAAATGTAAAGGTAGATGTTTTGTACCAAGGAGGGGAGTGATAACTTTGCAATCCAGGAGCGGAGGTCCCTGGAACCATCAAGAGAGAAGAGTGGAGTGAGAGACCCTACCCAGAGAAGCACTAATGCCAGAGATGGAGGCAGAGACGATGATGTGAAGAGATGGAGTGGCTGGGGACTCTAGACCCAGAGAGGGAGAGGGGTTGTGTGCTGATGACCAGGGTGTAAGCTTGCAGGGTATACTCTTTGGTTGGTTGATGATGCATGGAGGGGATTGTAACCATGGCAAAGAAATGATATATGATAGGATGAAAGTAAAGCTAATGTTCTCCCATGTAAACTATCACATAATTCACAATAAAACATTAAAAAAAAAAACTGTGGAGATAACTCGTATCTACCTTCAATGGTCGTGTAGTACAGAAAGGCACCAAAATTCTCACACTAGTAAGCACTGGGCTAAATGCTGCCCCAGAAGTATTTGTAGATGGCACAATATATTAAAATATTTTCTGTATTTAAAATTTTTAATATTTTTATACTATAAATGTATATATATGTGACCAACATTTGTCACGCCAACATTCTCCACATGTATAACCCAGTAGCATTTGTCTGTTGATCATGCTGTTCAGCCATCATCTTTACCCATTTCCAAACGTTTCCTTCACCTTTAAGCAATGAGGTGCCTTTTTCTTCCCTTTCCCACCTGCTCCTGGTAACCACTAATGAACTTTGATCTCTATACATTCAATGTTTTTCAAACTGAATAATTGGAACATATACAAAGAACTCCAGATTTCTAACTTTACTTGAAAGAGGAGAACCAGGGCCACACTGTGCGTCTCTGTACTCACACAAGGCAGCCATCAGCCCTGACTGAACTGCAGCTGATCCTAGATACACCTGCTTCCTCCAATTCCTGGCTTTATCCAACCATCCATCCATCCAGGTTTGCTCACTTACATTACTTGCTGGGCTCCTCTGGGCTCTTGAGTCTACAACCTGATTTACAATGATTCCCTTCTGGGGCAACTAATATGCAAATTAACATGAAAATTAACTGAACCTTCTTAAATACCTCTGTGAACACCACCTAGGCTAGAATCTTGATTCTCTTCCCTCTTACCTCAAAATTTCTCCGTTCCGAATGGCTGCTGTTTGGCGGCTGGTAGGCAATCTGTAGGTCATTAAGATCTTTCCAGGTGAAGGAGGAGATGGGTCTGGTGTGATCCAACAAGTGAGTCATATAGCCCTGGAGTGGTGGCTTAGTGATGTTGAACACCAGCAAGGGTTTGGGGGTCTCGTCATCTTCACAGTCCAGAACTGATGTGGTCAGGGAGGTCAGGATGAACTGATCCACTTCCAGAACAAACTTGGCCATGAAAGCAGCCCTTGGAATCTGATTGGGAATGCCAGCTCTGATGTGGACAGGCAACCACGCACTCTCTGACTTTGGAAAGAGAAAGACAAAGAATGAGTGAGGGAGTGAAGGAATGAATGATGACGAAATACATATATAAGTAAATAAACAAATAGGGAAGCCATTTGACTGAAGCTGTAGCATTACTACACATTACTGGCATGGCATTTAACATTTTTCACACCCTTCCCGGGAGGCTATATCCAGCAGTGATTTGAAATCTGGCTGCACATTAGAATCACCAGGGAGCCTTTAAGACATACTGGTGGTACCTAAGCCCCACATCCAAAGATCCTAATTTAATGTTCTAAGGAAGGGTCCAGAAACCTGGTATCTTAAAAGTCCTCCAAACTAAGCCAAATCCACTGCCATCAAATTGATTCCGACTCAAAGCATCCCTATGTGGGCTTCCTGAGATTGTAAATCTTTCTGGGAGTGGACAGTCTCAATTTCTCCCCTGAGTATTGATTGCTGGGTTTGGACTGCCTACCTTGTGGCTCTTTAAAGTCTCCCAGGTGACTCTAACATGTAGCCAGGCCAAGAAGAGGTGCAAATATTGACGTCTGACATACCTGTGCACATTATCCTATCTCCAGCATTTAAGATTTGCATGACATTTACTTAACTTCTGTCTTGTTCATTTCCACTCCCATCTGTAGATATGAATGTCTGACTCCCAAGTATTCAATGAGAATGAAATTAAATAGCCTACAGAAAGCACTTTACCGAAGTCTGGCCCAGAGCAGGCACTCAAAGAAGATTAGTTATTTTGTTGTTGTTAACTGCCATCAAGTCGTTTCCAACCCCTAGCAACCCTGTATAGGGTTTCTAAGGAGTCGCTGGTGAGCTTGAACTGCTGACCTTGCGGTTCAAACAGACTTACAGTCCAGCGCATTAACCCACAGCACCACACCAGGACTCAAAGACAAAAATCATCTGATTTCCAAGCTACGATTACAATGAGATTGCAAGGGGGCATCACAAAGCTCATAAAAAATTCCATTATCTCTTAATTCCATTTCTCCACAAACTTTTGGAAACCCTTCGTATTATTCAAGGGTCATAGCAAAACCAAAAATGGAACTATCAGAAGAGACTGGCGATAACTCTACTGAGTGGAAAATTACGATCAACAACAGAAGCATGCCATACTTCCGAAAACACAGCACACCTATGGGCCCGAAGGAAGTCAGGGAGATACTTGGTCCCATTTTCATTACTAGCTCCTAGCTTCTATGGTAGCGTAGTGGTTACGAATCGGGCTGCGAACCACAACGTCAGCAGTTTGAAACTACTAGCTGTTCTGTGGGAGAAAGATGAGGCATTCTGCTCCCATAAAGATTTACAGCCTCGGACACACTGTACAGGGTCGCTATGAGTCGGAACTGACTCCATGTCACGCAGCAACAGCTTCAAGATTCAGCCTTAACTAACTAGAAATCACTCTAGTGCTCAATGAATACGGAGTTATGAAGACTTTATTCCCTAATCCTGCTACCTCCTGTGGAACCACAAGCCAAGGAGTGAGTGTGATGGAGAAATGACATCTTGATACTTGCTACAGTGTGGATGGAACTTGAAGACATTATACTGAGAGTAATAAACCAATCAATCACTAAGGAGTTAAGGAGTCCTGGTATGGCGCTTCGGGTTAATGTGTTGGACTGCAAAGTCAGTTTGAATCACAAGGTTGGCAGTTCAAGCTCACTAGGCACTCCTCGGAAACCCTATACAGGATCACTAAAAAGCCAGTTATGATGAAATTGAAGAATTCTACCAAAGTCATCAGATTGAAATTGATCAAACATGCAATCAAATGCATTGATAATTACTGGCAATTGGAATGCAAAGGTTGAAATATGGCCTTGGTGATAGAAACGATGCTGGAGATCACATGATAGAATTTTGCAAGACCAATAACTTCTTAATTGTAAATACCTTTTTTAAACAACATAAAAGAACATGAACCTCGGCAGATGGAATACACAGAAATCAAATTGACCACATCTGTGGAAAGAGACATAGGAAAGTTACTAAATCATCAGCCAAAACAAGACCAGGGGCAGACTGTGAAACAGATCACCAATTGCTGATATGCAGGTTCAGGTTGAAGCTGAAGAAAAGTAAAACAAGTTCATAAGAGGTAAAATATTACCTTGAACATATCCCACCTGAATTTAGAGATAATCTCAAGAACACATTTCATGCATTAGACAACAAAGACCGGAGACCAGAAGAGTTGTGGAATGACATCAAGAACATCATACAGGAAGAAAGCAAACGGTCATTAAGAAGACAAAAAAGAAAGAAAAACCAAAAATGGATGTCAGAAGAGACTCTGAAATTTGCTCTCAACCATAGAGATGCTATAGCAAATGGAAGTAAAAGAGGCGAATAAAAAAATTTCAAAAGGCAGGTTGATAGAACAAAGTCAAACATTATGATGAAGTGTGCAAAGACATGGAGTTAGAAAACCAAAAGGGAAGAACACACTCAACATTTCTCAAACTGAGGGAACTGAAGAAAAAATTCAAGCCTCAACTTGAAATACTGAAGGATTCTATGGGCAAAATATTGAACAATGCAGAAAGCATCAAAAGAAAATATAAGAACTACTCAGAGTCACTGTACCAGAAAGAGATAGTTGATGTTCAACCATTTGAAGAGGTAGCATATGATCAAAAGCCAACGATACTGAAGGAAGAAGTCCAAAGTACAATGAAGGCATTGACAATGAACAAGGCTCTGGGAATTGACGGAATACAAATCGAAATCTTTCAACAAACTGATGCAGCACTGGAGGCACTCATTTGTCTATGTCAAGAAATTTGAAAGACAGCTACCTGGCCAACTGACTGGAAGAGAGCCGTACTTGTGCCCATTCCAAGAAGAGGTGAACCAAGAAAATGCAGAAATCATCAGAAAATATCAGTAATATCCCATGCAAGCAAAATTTTGCTAAAGATAATTTTTAAATGGACACAACCATACCTGACAGAGAACTTCCAGAGGTTTAAGCTGGATTCAGAAGAGGATATGGAACGAGGGATATCATTGCTGCCATCACATGAATCTGGGCTGAAGGCAGAGAATACCAGAAAGATGTTTACCTGTGCTTTATTGACTACACAGAGTCTTTTGATTGTGTGAATCATGACAAGCTATGGGCAGCACTGCAGAGAATGAGTATTCTAGAACACTTGCTTTTGCTTCTGAGGAACCTGTACATAGACGAAGAGGTAGTTGCTTGAACAGAACAAGGGAACACTGAAAAGTTTAAACTTAGGAATGGTGTGCGCCAGGGTTATATTCTTTCACCATACTTATTCAATCTGTATGTTGAGCAAATAATTTGAGAAGCTGGATTATATGAACACAAATGTGCTATCAGTTGTAGGAAGATATGCAGATGATACAACTTTGCTTACTAAAAGCTAAGGGAATTTAAAAGACTTACTGATGAAAATGAAAGACCACAGCTTTTGGTATAGGTTGTACCTCAACATAAAGAAAACAAAAATCCTCACCACTGGACTGATAAACAACATCCATATATATGGAAAAAAGATTGAAGTTGTCAAAAACTTCAGTTTGCTCATTCAACCATCAACATGCAGGGAAGCAGCAGTCAAGAAATTAAATGACATACTGCATTACGCAATTCTGCTGCATCAGACCTCTTTAAAGTGTTGAAGAGCAAAGAAGTTTGGGAACTAAGGTATGCCTGACCCAAGCCAAGGTATTTTCACTAATCTAATTATGCATGCAAAATTTGGATAGTGTATAAGGAAGACCATAGAAGAATTGATACATTTAAGCTATGATGTTGGAGGAGAATATTAAAAGTACCACGGGCTGGCAAGAGAACAAATAAATGTGTGTTAGAAGAAATATAGCCAGAAAGCTCCCTGGAATCCAGGATGGCCAGACTTTGTCTCTCATATTTCAGACATATTGTCAGGAGGGACCAGTCACTGGAGAAGGGTATCATGTTTGGTAAAATGGAGGGCCAGGGAAAAGAAGAAGACCCCCAATGAGATGGATTGACCCAGTGGAAGCAGTGGTGGGCTCAAATATAGTAACTATTGTGAGTTTGGCAGAGGATGGGGCAGTGTTTCCTTCTGTTGTGCACAGAATCACTATGAGTCAGTACTGACTAGATGGCACCTAACAACAACTACAACAGCATGAGTCTGAATGACTCACAGCACTAAACAACAATAAAGTGTTAATAGTGTATGACCTCACTTATATAAAAATACCAGAATAGGCAAATGGACAAAGACCAAAGTTTATTAGTGGTTACCAGGGGCTGGAGGGAGGGGGAAAACTTCATGGTTGATAAACAATGATGGGAAAGCACAGTGATTAAGGGTAGCGGCATGTAGCCAATTACTGGAATTACTGGTGGTGGTTATGTGCTGTGGAGTCAGTTCCGACTCATAACGACCTTGTATAGGGTTTCTGAGGCTGTAAATCTTCATGGGAGAACAAAACGTCATTTTTTCCCCACAGAGCCACTGGTAGTCTCGAACTGCTGAGCTTAAGATTAGCAGCCCAACTTGTAACCACAATGCTACCAAAGCTCCTTGCCAATAAGTTGTACACCTGTGAAAAATTAAGTGGGCTAAGGCTATGTGATATATTTACAACAAAGGAAAAATGAAAAAGAAAACAAAAGAATCCTTGTGAGGCTGCTTATGTACAATCTTAAGGGATTTGGTTTCTTGGCTGGGAGGTTTAAGGTCACGGGGCATCCCCAGTTAATTGGCCTGATGACGTGTTTGGTGCTTTTGTTCTATATCTCAGTTAACTGAGCCGAGGTACAACATTTGGCCTCTATACACCTGGAGGAACAGAGGAGGAAGGGATTTCAGGAGTAGGAGGAGGATATGGAATGTGCAGGTAAGAGCCTCCAAGAAAAGCTGCTTCCTTTGACATGGGACAGAAAGAACTGGATGGTTCCTGGCTACTGTTAAGTATTTTCATCAAATATGCCATAGAAGAATCCTGATCAAAAGGGGGAAATG